TGCTTACCTACAGAATGGGATGAGGACAGAGAAACTTTAATAGAAGCTAAAGAGAGGCTTAAATGCAAGGACTGCAATGAAAGCGTGAATTAATCGAGATAACACTAAGCTACATCTTTTGGTTGGAGGGTACATTACACCTTCTATGTCCCAGTCCCTCTTCTTGGAGGAAGAAGTCCACTTTGATGTTGGTACATAATAATGTAATGAATTTACCCCCCATTTTCATAAAGCAATGGACACTCCAAGTGGAGCTGATAACACAGCGTCCCTCGGAAAGACAGGCAGCCCCACAGCAGTACATCAGGGGCCATGGGCTGTTCCCTGGATCCTCTCCCTTTTGGTAATCTCGTATTAAATGTTCACTTGAGACTGCTGGAAAGTATTCAGAAATTTGTGGACTGAACTCCATGCTGCCCATAACTTTCTTATCAGCTACAAACTTCAGCTTATTGAGCTGTGCTTTTAAGGTTATTTATAAAAACCTGTGTCTGCCAACCTTCCTCCTGAGGCACAGCGAGGATGTATTTGATGCAAAAAGCACAGTCTCTGCTATATTAGTCAGGACCGGGTACAACAGGAATAACTGAAAATGACTTGGATTGTAACTAAAGAATTTGAATTCATTCCCAAGATGCTCTGTCAACCACACCCCTACAACAAATATTCTGGATGTGAAAAGGGTCAGCCCCGCAGACAGAAGATGCATTGTTTCCACCAGCAGGAAGAACGTGACCTAAAATACATACCATGTACTCGGCTCCCCCCGACTGAGGGGATAAAAAACCCAGCGACTGCAAATACAGCACTTACTGCCAGCATCTGAGTACAGATACTCAACCACCCAAATGACCTTTTTTCCCTTCAACAGTCTTTTTGAAGCAAAATTTGTGGTGAAGGCTTCTTGCTTAAAGAATATATGGGCTTATGTCAAATACATCAGCCCAGGGACTGATAATTGCTTGGGCTTAGAAGGCATTGGGGCCAGGCATAGAGAATAAAACGGTAAAGGGAATACAGTGGTTATTTATTAACTTTAGCCCCCAAAGCCTTGTTATATTCCCAAATCACAATCCTATTGGCATGAGAGGCTGCTGAGATGGAAATCTCTTAACAGCTGCCTCTCCTGCTTCAGAGCTTGCACTCCCCTCCGGTGCCGAGTGATGAGGTGGCTTTAACGCTCGCTGCAGGTACAGAATTTAATGCGCCCCATAAAAAAATCATGTACTGCCCTAAAAAAAAGCTCAAAATCCAACAACACCCCTTTTTCATTCAAGTGCTTCAAAACCAAAGTTTGTATCTGAACTCTCTCCTCTCCCGGGCTGGTGCCACGGAGCACAAGGGGTATATGGCCCCCCAAACCCCAGGTCCGCTGCACCCCCAGCTCCGGGGCTGGGGACCCCGCATCCCCCCACGACTCCCCACGTTGGGAGTGTGCTGAATGGCTAATGCCAGCCTCGCTGACCCGGCTCCTAAAGAAGTCTTGAGATTATGCCTTGAGGCTTAGATGGGACTTAAGCGCTCCCTTGGCCTTCCGCTGGCGCAGGGAGGATCTCACCCGCAGCACCGCCGGGGAGCAGAGCGCTGGTTACGGAAAACATGAACAGGAATCGATGAAACCATCCGAGGTAATGAGGAAAGAAGCCACCTTCACTCGTAAAGGAAGGAGACGCGCTGATTTTAAAAACAAAGCCACAAAATCTGTGCTGCCACGCATGTTGTTTGATGTCGACTATTGTTACAGAAATGAAAGGAATTGGGGATTTATGTCATTAAGGAGGAAGGATGAAAAAATATCCAAGAGGCTTGCAAGCAACAGACATCTTTCTGATACAGAAAATAAATACTTAAAAATAATTTTGACTGGTTTTGGAAACCAGCCTGCTGGCTTTTGGAGGGTTTTTTTACGGTTGTTGGTTCTGGCTTGTAAAAGAGAAGTTCATCAGGAGCAGTGCTGGAAACGAGTCTTGCAATTACTTACAAACATACTCACAGTCTTTTAAAACTCCACCCAGTAGAGCTGCCATCAGTGTAGTTCATAATCCTAGATTTGAACAGCTTTTCTGACTGCAAGCTGTCTGGGTAATTGCTAAGCTGTCTGAGAATTACTATTGAACTCTGTCCTTTTTTATCTCACTGACTGACTACTATTTGTTATTAGTCCAAGTAATAATAATATATTAATGCACATGCTTAATATACAGAAGTATATGTTTGTATTGAAACTGCACTGCACTCTGCACTCTGAAGTGTAGAAAAGTACCGTGAACAGAGCGAACAGTCACGCAGAAAACCAGCTATCATCTTCCCAAAGGCCATACAAAACCATAGACTCGGTATTTAGTAATTCCTACACACGAAATGCTTTGCACTGACGGGCGACGCTGGAAAACTCAAGGAATTTCCTAAATCAGCCCTGAGCAAGCGTCCCCGCGCTGCACCATGATCTGGATGCCGTATACCAGCTCCAGTCCCACCTCGCTGCTCATGCGAAATGCTGCCTGTGAGCGGGGAAAGCGGCGGCACAAGCAGAAGAGCAGCGCGGTTGTGCTGGCTGCAGGGAGTGCCACCCAGCGCGCGTGCAGGGCTGGAGCTTTAGCTAATTGGGGCAGAAGAGCAGGGTGAGGCACCGTCGCCTCGCAGCTCCCGGTGCTCCTGGTTGGCGACGTTCACCTCCGCAGACACCCTTTCCCCCCCCGGTGTTGGGTCCCTTCCTGAGCTGTCCCTACGGGAGCTGATGCGCGAGGGTCACCCTTCCCAGCTGGGGCTGAGGAGGTGCAGACCACCGCCCCGCCGGTGATGCTCTCAGTCCGGACCCACCTCGTGCGAACAAGCCCCTGGAGCCAGGCACACCGGTACCGGCGGAGCTGGGCACGCGTGTGTGTTGTGAGCAGCTGGATTACTGGGGGTTCAGAGCCCCAAGAGCCATTTCTTACTATGAAAGCTGACCTAAACGCAAAGGTTAAATATATTAGGTGGACTCGTGATTTGAGTCTAGAACTAGAGTTCTGCTGATGCCACCAAACCAAGCCCAACCATCCCCTGAAGACCGATGCGTTGGTGCATCATCTACAACTGCTCCAGTGACACAGTGGTAACTCCAGGCACCACGGAAGGTCCATGCTCACTTTCTTCCAAAAGGAGATCCTCTTATCCAAAAGTCTTGGAAATCAATGTTTTCTCCACGGAATGCACTCCCTGCCTCCTCTTTTGTTTGTAAAGAACAGTGCTAATCTTTTGCATCCATGTACAAAGTATAATGTGCATTTATGCTTCTAAAGCAAAGTACAGCCCAAATTCAAGGGGATAGGACATGCTTCCTTAAGGTGCAGCACAGTGACCTTGAAAGTCTGCATGTCAGTACATCCCGAGGAATCTGGTGTCTCAGTTGTGTCTGTGTAACTTCTATCAACAAAAATATTTATAGGAGTTTATGCATAATATTGATCACTAGAACACCATGTCACTTGACAAGAGGTTCCCATCTTCAAACAGTATATATGTGCATTATGACATGGTTAGAAGTTGGTGCAATTTGTTTACTTTTAAAATGAAAGCTGTGAAAGTTGAATTAAGAAAACAATTCTTTTTCGTTGACCTCTACACAAAAAGAGAGAAATGACCTGACTAATAGGGTTAAGCATCCTTCTCCAGAGGCATGCATCTGACAGCACGTGTCCAGCCTTGGCTATCTGCTGAAGCCTGCCTAGAGCTGCAAACTAACTCATGGGAAAGCAAAGCTATATAATGGCAGTGGTCAATAAATTTAATTTCTTATTAGCAAAACACTAATCAATAATCCAAACCAATTTTTTTTTCTTTCCTTCTATATTTTATGACTATCTGTGATGGGGAAAAAAGAAAAATTACTGTCTACACTATCATTAGCTGTTCTTTTAATTACTACCTGTACACAGTAGTTGGTTTAGAGTGCAGATGAAGTTCTTGGTGCAGATGACCTGGCAACAGTTAATTATGAAACTTGATATAAACAATACTCATTGATGATTTTTCTTTAATGGGAATCATGAACTTATTGCTCAAGTTGCGGCATTTTTCCTTTTTGCCAAGACTTATCATTTTGTCTCCCACTGAGGCCAAGATTTCAGAAACATGTGATTATTTGAACCATTGCACCCTTCCCCTAAAAATGTATTTCTAGACCTTGTATTTGTGAAGGAAAGTCTCATATGAAAACAGCACAAACTCATTTTTAAAATAAGTTTCATATGTGAAATTCTGGGCTATTTAAGATACAAAGCTTTTACTGACTGCCATTAGTGATGACTATTTTGATGTCGTTCTTAAAAGCCCTTATTCTGAGACTTTGATCCTTTTTTATCATTATTCCGATATAGCACAACTGCCATTTTCTTCTTAAATTGGCCACTTCAGCAACAAACTACTCCCTCTAGGAGAGGATCGAGTGGAAGAGCTCAGTATGTTTGGAGTATCTTGGCCTAGGTCCAAATTCTTGTATCGCTGGTCAAAATTCTGGATACAATCAAAACAGTAAAAAAGGCAACAGTAGAAACCCCCTGTATTAAAGCTACCCTACAGCAGCCTCCGGTTGGCACAGGAGCCTGAACAGGAGGTCTAAGGGCTGCGTGAGACAAGGGCTGCTGCTGCGTGGCTATGATAGATGGGCTGCAAAATGGTACCAAGAACAGTGAAAGACGTGAACTTTTTGATTCAAAACAAGGATGTAGCTGATTAGCAATCTGCAGGAAACTTGAGGCTTGTCCACGGTCTGCTGATCTAAAAGATGTGGGCAGCGGTTGGCTGCAGTGGTCGAGGACCCAGCACGGCTCCCGTCAGAGTGCGGCACACGGGGCAGCGAGGGGCTCTTCTGCTCTAGAGCAGGAACGTGCAGTGCTGCCAGACCTTGTTCCAATACAGAAAGTCCTGATTACTGATGAATTATTAGATATAGCGATTTGTATGATTTAAAAAAATACACAATTTGTATTCAAATATTTCATTTTCAAGGCTCCTTTCACTGCAGAAGCAATGTAACACATGCTTTCTTATGTAAATAATGCTTCAAAACAATTGCACAATAATTATTCAGTCCAAACCAAACAACAAATACTAATTAAACTGAATAGAAAACAGTGCAGCAAAGAAAAGCATGCAAAGGGCCTTGTGTTGTTAGTAGCGATTTCAACCTAAAATAAATCCTGTGAGTAGGAAGGTGCCATGTAAGGATCTCCACCTAACTTGTTGTTCTGTTATTTGCACAGTTTTAATAGGATTTTTCTATTAATCTGTGACAAACCATGAAATTTTATATTTTCACCATGACCAAGCCATGAAATTTGCCAACTTTGTCCATGATTTACACTGGGTCATAGTTATAAGGTCTGTTATGCTTTTTAACTAAATAACTACTGAAGCTTCCCCTTTGGACAGAATGAAGAATTTGCCTATAATTAAAGCAGGAATTGTTAACTGCTGGCAGTAAAAGTTTACAGCATTGTTTGACAGTCACAGAGATAAGCCAGTAAAACCCTGGGATGCCGTGTCTACCTGCGCTTCCCACATAGCCGAACAATAGGGTTATATCTCTCAGCATCACGAAATCAATCTCAGATTAGGTAATGAAATATGCACCAGCCTTTTCCCAGAACCTTTGACAAATCACACACAATCCTAAATCTTCATAAATCACGATTAAAGACAGGTATATCATCACCAACGCATATATCTTCCCATGCCTGACCCAGAGACTAATGAGAAAAGGCCTAGACTATCTCATCTGATTAATTAATTCAAAATGTCTGCTGTTATTCAAATGTGAGGCTGGTATTATTTGAATAACACTTGACAGCAGTGCCTGAAGATATCATTTCTGATTTGTGAAGCTGCTGCTGCATAACTGATGATAGTTTATGAAAATGTTCCATCGAAGCTGCTTTTCTTGGCACAACTGTGAAAGATTTTCTGGAGAGAGGGTTTTTTTGTCAGTAGTTGATGTTGCTAACATTGTCAAATATTTCCAAAATCTGCAACATCTTGGAAGCCCTTTTTTCCTGAAGCCCTGCTTGAATATTAGTTCCTTCGTTCTCTAAGAATTAAATCTCTCTCTCTCTCTCTCTTTGCAGCACAGCCAAAGGCAGCCGAATTTGACCCTTTCCATATGGCCTGTTCTTCACCAGCTCAGAGGACAAAGCGTCGTCTCTCACGGCCAAAGAAGGGCTCAGGGAACCAGCCTTCTCTGACCAAAGTCATTTTACTTCACGTCCGTGCTCAGTGCTATGTTCTTAGGGATATTTTTTAAAGACAGGAAGGATAAGTACTATGATTCCATAGTAAGATGTGCATGAACATTAATTTTGAAGGAAAAGACCACAGCCCCGTCCAGAAACAACGATGTTGCTTGGTGACCTTGGCTGGGGAAGGCTGGTGCACCTGCAGTCTGCGCTCGGTGCTGCCGCACAGGGTCCGGCCATGCCGGAGCGGTCTCGTCTGCTCTGATGTCCCGATGGGCAAAAGCCCGGACATGGGAAATCAACCCTGACTTCACTCCTGCCTCTCCTTGAAACAGCCCCAGGCTCAATTAACATAGTAATTTCAATTATTCAGATGGTTGCACTGGGAGTGGCAACTATGGACAAGTTCATTTCTTTTTCTGAAAATACTAGAGTCTCCTCTTTTTCCCCAGACTGCAACGCCACTGAAAAATCGGAAAGCCGCACACATGAGCATGGTACCTACTCTGTCCAAATGCCTACAAAGACACGAACTAGCAGATGCCATTTCCTAGGGATTAATGAAGAAACCAAGGCTGTGACATCCGTTGTGTCACCAAAACCTAAAAGCCACCACTGCAGCTGCTGAAGGTCTCTGGCCCCAGACGGCAGAGGGAAAGCAGAGCCTCTTCGTGCTCTGAGAAATGCCTGAACACAAACCAGCTTCCTCCGCCTCAAACCACCACGCTCAAACGAGGGTCCTGCTCTAATGAGAACAATTCTGCTACCTAGAGAATACGTTTCAAACAAAACTTACAGCAAAGGCTTCAGTGGTTTTTTTCCTGAAGTATTTATGTATTGAAATGTGCTAAGACTCCTGTCCTGCAAGAAACTGGGTTAATGTAAATGCAGAGCAGCCGCCCACCCAGGCTGAGATTTCCAGAGGTGACGAAGGGCCAGATCCACACCTGGGAGGAGCCCAGCACTTTCCCGAGCTCCAGCAGCTCACAACACACCACCAGGGATGGTAAAGATGTTCAGCACTTAATTTCATAGCACCTATAATAAGAGCCATGGGAACACCATTCTGCAGGTTCTGTTATTAGGAATAATTTAAATTACAAGTCTGTACCAATTTTTTAACAAAAGTCTTCATTTTAAAATTTTCTTTTTCCATGAGATAATAAAAATTAGCATTTTATTCTAAATATACCATACTACAAAATACCTAGAACCTGTTACAACCAATTTTTTTTTATTAGTGGAATGTGAAATGTGATGCCATGCTCATAACAGTTTTAAAACTGTGCTATTCTGAAGCTGCGTAGCCATAAGCACTAAAAGAGAGGATGTAAAATGTATGGTCTAAAACGAATATAAATCAATCATTATGACAGAAGTAGCACTTATTTGAGAGTCAGAAGTGAACAAAATATTCTGTGTCAGCAAAATGTCTCCTGTCAAAACCTGCTCTTTAAAATTTCACTACAATGTGCTGAGACAAATGTCCTTTGCAACTCCGTGTAAGGAAGCATGTTCTAAATCTTCATAATTCAACCCTTCCCTGTTTTCAGGCAAAAAAGCAAGCCGTAAACGGTTGTGTATTCCTGCTGATGAAGTAAACACCGCGCTTCTAGCCACAGCCAAGTGTCAAATGCTGCTGCCTCCTCCATCAGCTCTCACCCAGGACGGACGGCACCTCTGATCCACCGACTCAGGAAACCACGGGGAAGATGCATCAACAATTTTATCTGACCTGCTCATTCCTTAAGAGTGAATATTAAGCTGGTGGAGGTCGAAAGATCACCAAAATGAAGCGCTATGTTTATACGGAAATCTCTTAGGACCCCGGCACGTTCTCTCTCACCGGTGACCCGCAGGTCGGCGGGACCCGCACCGGAGATGCTTTACGCCGCGTACAGCCGCATGCCCGGCTGGGGCTCCTCTACAGCTACACCCGCGACGGCCTCTTCCCCCACCACGACTCTGCCAAACAACACGCTGACGAGGGTGCCGCGGCATCCCGTCCTGCGCAGGGCCGCTCCACCACGGGCCGGTGCTGGTCAGCGGTGTGTTCCTGACACACGGTGCTTCCCTCTCGGTAATCCCGACTACAACCTGAGCCGGACCCCAGCTCCCTTCAGCCCTCTGCCAGAACCTCTCCCTCCCTCCCTCTATGCCTTTTTTAGTAGACTGTTTACCTTTGATTAAATTACAAATGTTTGACCCCAGTTAAATCTTACAGCTAAGCTATCTGGGCTAGTGTTGTCTTTTTTTCCTCCCCTTTATCCTTCCCAAATGCATCACAAGTTCCTGAAGAGATCTGCATTATGTCACTCTTCAGTATATAAAATAAAGGGCATGCAACTAAATCAGATCTCCATTCTTCCTTACTTGGGATGACAGCACAAGCTGAACACTTTTAAAGTGGTTACGCTGTTTGCCAGGCTGCCACTACCTTAAGATACATAAAATACCAGATTTAAGACTTCAAAAGGGTAAATGACTCCAATTCATGTCGTCATACTCATGAAAAAGCAACCTTTTCCGTTTTGAAAATACTGGGGAAATATACCTTGGTGTGTCGAGTACGTCCCACATTTCTGAGACAGTGCGAATGTAACAAAGGTCTTACGTTTACCCATTCAAAAGGAGAACCATCTTTTTTTCTTTTCAATCACAAGTTTTAAACTGGACACAATCTGCCATAGAGTCTAAAAAGGCAGTATTAAAGGTCTGGGATCTATTGCAATTTCTAAAAAATCAAACCCCCAAACAGAGGAGAGGACAAAGGCAAAGCCATGGCTGTTGGAAACAACCTCTTCCAACTCAGGATTCTATTTTTGCAACTGTATACATTAAAAAACCTGTTTGAAGATTAAAAATGCATAAAACTCGAAATTGACATTTATTTCCTGCAAAACAATCTATTTCTTCAGAGATAGTTTTTTCCAAAAGATGATAAACTCCTTCTCCTTATGTTGTGCCTTAAGACATCATGTGCTTTTATCCTTTAGCAAAATATGAACCAGCTACTAGGCTGACAATGCCAAGAACCATGACAAAATGGATTATTAATGAGAAACTGATCTCCAGAACTCTATTAATTTATGTCTTCCTGTCGGATCCCAAAGATGTATCAGCCCTCTCACTCAAAGAAAAAAATGCCAACATTGTACTTTGTTTTAAAGTTCTGCTTAGATGAAGAATTCATTATCCAAAGCACTGTTGTGTTATTTCAGTCTTCTTGTAGAATAAAGATTCTTTATCAAATAGCTTAGAAAGCTGCTGACAAGTGCGAGGATCTTGCAAAATATATTTACATCAAAAATTCAATGAGGAATCTTTGGATTTTTAACCTTTTTTTTTCTTTTCTCGGCAACACTCCTTGCCTCGTTCTGACCTGTCAGCACTTTGGAAATGAAGACCATGAAATTCCATCTGTAAAAACCTGAGAAAAACTAACACGATGGTGAGCTTTTAAAATGCTTAATTATACTAATTATTCCACTGCGAAGTAAAATGATCTAACACGTAAACAGAAGAAATCAGATTTCTTTGTTGAGCACAAACAGCAAACAGACATAAAATATCCTTTTAAGCCTCCGTGAAAAAATCTATCTCATCTATGCTTATCATAATATTTATGAAATAAAAAACAGAGAGGAAAAATTGCTGTAATGTACTCTGGGTGACCTCTGCTTTCGAGAGAGAATGAAAACAGCCTTTTGCTTTTCAATCCCCATCAAAGTGGAGTTAAAGGAGGGACAGCATTCCCTTGCTCACTGCCATTAATCATTGCTTTCTTCAAGCAAGTGCGTATTAATTTCTGTCA